TCGCAGATAGCAGTGGCAGATATTAATCTTTTGTGTGGCAACATTTTCCACCTAGTAATGTTGTTTTAAGCGTGTGGTATTGGACAAAGTTTGCATACCTAGCTACTGAGAAGAAGCCACTCGCTGAACACGACTCATGCATGACCTACATCGTATCAGGTGCCAGGTTGTCTGTGGCTTGTTTAGAAAAATAATTAATGAAAATGATGGTTGGGTTGTATCAGTCAACGTTTTTTTTTTTTAGAAATTCATGATGAGAAGAGCAACAGGAAGAGATACTCACAGTGTATTGTATAGATCGCTAAGCATAACTACTTGTAAAGCAGGCTAAGAAGACCTCGTTTATTTATCAATTATTTTTAGAATCTTGTGTATGTATCTTATGTGGAAGGTTGTTTATAAATTTGTATGATTGAAATAGTGGTCATACAAAGAATAATGTTATTATATTTGTATATAGGAAATGCCAACATGGGGATCATCCTTGATTTATACTGGCTCAAGTCTGAAATAATTGCTGCCTGAGTTACATTAAGGCCGCTGCGGTACATGCTCATTCAGATGAAAGAAACCAATGTGCATCCCAGGGGTTCAATAACTTTTCAACAAAGCTTTTACGACAGTAATTCCTAATGTTGTTTCTTTCGCCTTTCCTTTTCCATCATGTTTCCTGTGTTTGTGCTTCAGGAGGAAACACGCTGTACCTGTGGCAGTTCCTGATGGAGTTGCTCCAGGACCGACAGGTCTGCCCCCGCTATATTAAGTGGACTAATCCCCAGGCGGGCATCTTCAAGTTAGTCAACTCAAAAGCGGTGGCCAGACTCTGGGGCAAACACAAGAACAAGCCAGATATGAATTATGAGACGATGGGCAGAGCTCTTAGGTAAACTACCAAAAGAAGTATAATGCTGCTTAAAAATACCAACATATGCTGTGTCTCAAATTGCGTACTTCTAAACTTACATGTGCTGTTTTTCATACATAAGTGCATCCCAATGTTAAGTGTGGTAAATGCCATTGGTACTCGGATTGTGCACTCGTAACATTCCAAACGTTGAGTGTGGAACGCTGGACACTTCTTGCACTAAACAATCACAATCTTGGCTGTAGCAGAAATGACACGGCTATCTGCGAATGTGAATGCTTCAGTAAACACAGCACTAAAAAAAATAAGAGTTATGCATGTTTTTTATATTTTTTTAATTTAAGTCACAGAACACCATACTGGTGTCGAAAGAATGCAACCTATATTTTTCTAGGGTTAATCGAGAAGTCTGTAATGATTTGGTACCACAAACGGTAGTTGCTAGCTAGCTAGCTAACAGCTGTAATCATCGATTCCGCACACACTGCATAAGTGTTCACAGTGCACATAATGGTGATGAAGTAACTAAAGTATTCAATGTGAGATGCAGCAACGGTCATAACTCTACTTTATGGAAAATATTTGTGTTTATGCTTTATATGTTTTTGTTAACGATAATTCTTTCTGTTGGTATAGGTACTACTACCAGAGAGGCATACTGAATAAAGTTGAAGGCCAGCGTCTGGTGTACCAGTTCACCTCTCTGCCCAATCATATGATCTACATCACCGATGGAGATGGCATCAAAGAAGAAGACGATGAAGACATTGATGAGGGTGTGAGCGATGACTCAGATGACAGCACCGTGCCTTCTAGCGACCAATCGGTGGAGGATGAGGAAGATTCTCCCCCACCGCAGAAGAAAACTTCGAGCTATGTCCGACCCCCGGCTCCTCAGCGGACCAGGCCGGCTCCCCGGTCCTCAGCACTGCGAGACGGTGTCACGCGTTCTGCCACCAACAGCATGATCCAGGAACAGCATTTGCCTATCGTGTCAGCAGAGATGCTGCGGACCCTGCAGAACCTGCAGAAGGTCCGGTCCCTGCAGCCCGCTGGTCACGCCTCCGTCTTCAAAACCGCTCAGCTGCTGGGCAGTTTGTGCGAGCGGCAGGCTGCGGCTGAGGGCGGCGTGTACGATGCACCTGATGGAAAGTCATACCCGGGACTCAAAACGTCACAAGTGGAGACGCCACTGCTGGTGCGATTAACTAGCTCTAACCAATAGAGTGGTGCAGCGAGCATTTATTTAGGCAAACCCGGAAATTAGCATAACAAGGGGGTCCCTCAACAACAAGCAATTGGATTTTTCCATTGGATTTTGGAATATTGCCAGAAATTAGATCATGATACTTTGTTCAGCAGGATAATATCCACATCTTAGCACCACTTTTATGACTTTTGAAGCGTTAATGCAATCAGCAGAAGGGAAAAGCTATAAAAAAAGCTATATTAGGCCATAAACTAACAACATCCGTTCCGAAGACCTTGGGTTTGGCACTCTCATTTAGACACTTGTTAGCAACCGCCGTTTTTATGACGCATAGAAGCTACAGACATTCACAAGAATTATATTTCCTTACGTATTTTATTTCGTAAAACAAAACCTGACAATCTCTTCAGGTTGTGTTATCCACAGACCTTATTTCAGGCCTCTACCCAACAAAAACTCCTTAAAAACATGAAATTATTGAAGAGGGAACCAGAGATGTTCAAATGCCTACTTATTCCCGGGTTTTAGGACTTATTCCTGCACCACTCTATTAAAATAAAACCTTATACACACACACACACACGCACGTACACTCCACTGACTCAGGACCAGTTACAGAGCTGCACTCCGCTGTGACGATGTGGCACTGATCCTGGATTATTTTTTTATTTTAGAATATATTATATAACAGTAACGAAAGTAATTCTCGATCACTGCTGCCTCCCTCACATCTGGGTTTGCAGGAAACCAAAATTCCACAACATTTAGCAGTTTATCTTGTAAGAGACTTAAAAGACTTTATATCTCAGCCTTTCAATCTCAGCAGCCGTTAATCATAAGACACCAAAGACGACATGCACTGGATCCTGCAGCCACTCTGCAGACACACCCTCCGCTTGCACTCCACCTCCAGCGCCATGGAGCCAATTATCTGAGCAGCACACTGTGGCCTCCTTCTAAGTCTTCTCTCTCGCTCTTCTTTTTTCTTTTACTATCACATGCTGAATCATTCCTCTGCCTTAAAAGTGGCTTTGCACTAATGTTTACCCCTGCTGTACGTTTCTTCTCCAAGTGCCTGACGATTCTCAGTCCATCCTGTCCCTGCTTCCTTGTGATCGTGAGGTTATTAAGGAAAAACATTCCATATTATTATTGTTTTTTTATACATTTTTCTATCAATCTAAATTATGTTTGTATTGTGACATGTTGAAAACAAGGGATCACTGTTGTTTCTAGAATAGTAATTTAGCACTGCTGCCGTCTGTAGGCGATGAATTACACAGTGTATCTTGCTTTTGTCGACAATCACCAGTGAGACCGCTACTATTTAGCCGTGCACACAATCTGTTCTTGTTATTATTACACGTATATATATATGCATATATGGACCTGTAAAGCCTTGATATCTGTATGTATCGTGTGTTATATAATGTATCTTGTCTGTGAACATGCTCAACGTTGTGCCTTGTTGCCATTTTCTCCCTCAGGTTCGTAGAAAATTAGATTTACTCTATGCAAGGAGTAAAACGGCAGACCCTTTTTTTTATAATGAAGTAATGCTTCTGTGTTTTCCCTTCAGTTGATCGTAGTTTAGCCTCACAAACCTCACTCCAAATTAAAGTGTGTGAGATTCAGGCCGACCGCTATGAGGCTAAGCTTGATTCTGGAGATGCTTGCAATTGTGCCTTTTCCCCCAAGGGAACCCTATGCAAAACAGTTTTCACTTTATTATCGAGCAAACCATTTATTTGGAATCCGCTCTCTTTGCTTTATCTGCAGGTCTCTTGATACTGTAAGTTTTACTGCTATTGATAAGTGAGCTTGTAGCAGAGGGAGAGGTGGAGTTTCTTTTGCCTTATTGGTGTTTGCTTTCATACAGAAATGTTGAAAAGAAAATGTTCTGTTATATGAAATAAACTTAATGTTGTCATTGTCTGTGAGAAATTAATTGTCACTCATTTATCAGCATATGTGGTTTATTTATGTTCTGCACATACCAACATCTTTGAGGTATTTGTACTTTATTAAAGTTTTCTGCTACATTATACTTCTATTCCTCTTTACACATCTATTTTATACTTTGTATTACATGTCAGTTCTTTTAAAGGTGAAGATACTTTGCAGATACAAATAAAATGTGTTTATACAAAATAATCAATGTATTAATTATTATATTTAAGTTATAACATTATTATAACTTATTTTGTTTGATTAAGATAATGATAGAGGAAATTAGCCCCACCTCGACTAACTGCACCATTTAAAGTGATGTACACATGAATGCATCAATACATATGATCCACATTATTCATATTATTCTGAGGACTTTCCATCTATAAGTTAGTATTTTACTTAAGTTAACTTGTGAATACAGTGCTTTTATTGTATATAAACTTCTGGCTTCTTCCACCACTGCTATTTTTTAACCAGTTTAACATTAATCAATTAAAATGTGAATTACCAAACAAGAACCAGCGTTTACATTCTGATGTATTGTTATAGACCAATGAAACTACGTTATGTAATAGGAGACAAATCAGTCGAAATTAGCTCCCCTTTTTCTCAAACTATTAAAATGTTCATACAGTCGAACAGTTTCATATGTATTGTTGAACATGTTTTTGAACATTTTTTGCCTTTTTAATATGTCTTCATGAATGTACCAAGCAATATATGTTCTCCCTTGAAAAAGAGATCAATGATCTCAATGGGATACACCTGGATAAATAAAGGTTTGAAATGAAAATATCTGCTAAATTCGTGCTATTTACACCATAACCATGTCTGTTACTGTTGTCTGTAGACTAATGTGAATGTTGTACTATTATATTGTTTGTATTTTTATTTTATTTCATGGAGAGGTTTGCTGTCCCATTAAAAGCTGTCTTGTCGTACCCCTCCCTGCCTGTGGCGGCGCTCTGGCACAATGGGCGCTGTGCACCCGGATGTTGACAGGCCTGCTGCTGTGGCTGCTACTGCTGCCGCTATCACGTTTCCAGAAGTCCCCTCATCTTACTAGAACTTTCCTGTCACTCCAGAAACACTGCACACACCCACAGCAAACCCATGGCAACCGAAAGGCAAGTTAAACGTAACATATGAATGAGCTTTTATTACATTTTATATCATTAGTTTCTCCTACTCTGGTTAACGTGTGGTCTCTCTTTTTGCTTTAGTAGCTTCCCCGATATCTTCATTGACGAAGACCCACAGAAAGCTCTGGAGGTAAACATTACAGTTAGCGAATCATAAATATATACCAAATATCAGATACATATTTCTTATCACATATCCCTGTTCTTCTGACTAGCTGTTTTACAAAGGAAATGAGGCCGGTGTTATTGTTTCTGTCGGTAGCACCGGTTTTGACACTGTAACTAGCTAGCCCAGTTAGCTAACGTTTCCTGCTAGCATCACTGAGAATAACTTTATAGCAGTATCATTTCTACCTTTGTAGGACACTTATTTAGTTAAAATTGAGCATCATTACAAATGAAATAGGTTTTAGTCATAAGGTCCTATTACTACACACTGGTTAGTGATAAGCCTTTTTTAGACATGTCATTATGTTAGCATTATTAGCACACACTGTGAACAGGTCCGACTACAAGTCAGTGACCAATTCTAATTCCTAGATGTATTGACTTGTTAAACACCTCTGCTCCTTTGTTCATTCTGTCAATAATGGAGACTGTATGATATCTCATTGATACTAATCACCTGATTTTTGCCAAATAGATCCCAGAATAATACCTTTTCTTTAAATTGCTTGTTGATTGTTAGCTGTGATTGGCCCTGTCATAGCCTATATTTGACAGATAGTCTACAGATATGTATCTTTTACTATATATTTATTTTAGTTCCGTTTTATTTAGAGATTTCTTTGAGTTTGTCTATGTTCTACTCTTTTTTTAATAGTATTTATTATTTTCACATTATGTGCAATGCCTTGTTGCTGCTGTGACAAAAACAATCCCAAATTAGGATCGATAAAGTAAACCTAATCTAACTGTCAACATAATGGTGACAGTGCAACAAATATAGAACTAAAACAAACATGTCAGCCCTTTTGTTAATGTTAGGATTCTAACATTGTGACAACTCTCTCTGGATCCAACTTGTAGGAACTGAATGAGGCCTTGCAAGGAGACTCTGACAACGCTCAGTGGTTTTGCCAGCGTGCCTATGCCCACATACTCCTCAAAAACTACAGCTGTAAGTCTGAGATTACTCGTTTTAAACAAAATACTTTAGTAAGCATGAATGTTATTCTTTGCTAGAAATAAAAACGTCTTTATATTCTGTTGTAAACAGTATTGTTGTGTTTTTAATAACTGCCTAATGCAGACTTTAGAAAATAACATCACCTAGCAGATCCTTGAAATAATAATCTTATACCAGTCAGCAATCACTGGAGGAAATTAGGGTAGCATGAATATTCATTCTCTAAGTGACACAGGGTGGATGATCGTATCATAAACACAGTGTTGTTTTCTCTCCGCAGGCGCTGTTGATGATGCCAAAAAAGCACAGCAGCTAAAACCCAGCCTTCCCCTTGCTTTCATGCGAACAGGGTGTGTACTATGATAACAAGAATGATCCATGTATAGGTGTTTCATGTATGTGTTCAACATAAGCTGCTGTTGATAGACCTATGATACTAGTTTGTTCCGCACAATCTGAAATATATATTCACATTCCTGCTAAGAAAAGCTAAGGTCAACATTTCTCTACAACCAGAGATAAAGTTTGTGAACTGTAATTGCTTTAGTTATTTTACTTATTTCACAAGGAATATGATCCAAATTGTGGCGAAATAAGTTATACCTGAGACTGTCTGATCTAAGTATTTGTTGTTTCCTCTCTTTATTGCAGAATAGCAGAATACCACCTGAAGCTCTTTGAGTCAGCACATGCAGCTTTCACTCAGGGACACCAACTGGATGGTAAGTACACTTCCCATCATCCCACTCAGTACCAAACCTTGTTTGCAACAATATCTTGTCTGTTTCACTGTCCTCTATAAAATGATTAAACTGTCATTTAGCTTTACAGATTACAATTCTGTAGGAATCTCTAACATACAGATTGTATTTATTACTTTCACTATGATTATTACATGCTTTATTAAAACTGCGGGCTGTGGGTCAAACTCAAGGCAAATAAATCTAGCAAATGTGTAATGTTTGTTTTGATAGTTGCATTGTGGTAGTATTTGTCTCCACCTTGTCCATTATATTTGTATACCATAACAAAACTGAACAAAAAAAGCTCCATAGCATATAGAGTTCAGAAACAGTGCTTTTTTTTTTCTATAGAGGCTTTAATATTCTACATATTGATATATGTATTATGATCACAATAAATAATTGAGCATGTGTTGTCAAGCCAGATGCAGCTGAATGTTTGCTACTATAATATTTTACAGTTTGCAAATATTGACCTTAATTTGGTCTTTTATACTGTGCAAGCAGCTGCAACCAAATATTGATCATAAGAAGTGGACTTAGTCACTGTTGCATTACCCACTGGTTTGTGGACTTTTGAAGCCTCAATTTAGCTTTTTGGCCGATGCAATATTGTTTTTTTGACCAGAAGTCAAACAAAAGGGTGAAACAATGTATGAAAAAACACTAGACGGCATATTTATTGTTGATTAAAATGAAAAAATGTACTTTCATGCATTAAAAGTACCTTTGGAAAAGGTTTAAGTTAAGAATCAAAAGTGAACAAAAAATAATAATTTTGTTATGCAGTCTTATAGACTTCTATACAATCAGACTTCTTGTTGTAATCAGTGGACTCGCCCCTTACTGCTGGACATTAGAAATAATTCAGGTTGGTGCTTCGGTAAAACTAACAATTATGTTCAGAAGAAGTCAGTGGATGCGTCTCACTTCGGTTATTTTTCATTTCCCCGCTCCTCGGGCTCTGTATCGCCGGAAGTTGATTTGTCTGCGCCATCTTGAGTAGCGTCCCAGTGGCCTTATTTTTGCCGGAGGAGCGATAATCGAGGAACTACCGGACCATCCTCCGGTGAAATCCTCAGACACTCGCCCCGCCCCCTTACTGTGTATCACTCACTGATTGGACGATGCAGCGCATGCACTGATCTGGCTGCTGTTGGACGATCAGCAGTGCGGTGTCATCACAAACGGACGTCGCTTCACGTGACGCTCCGGAGGAAACAACGTCCCATTGCTCTTAAAAATGTCCCTGCTTCTCGTGGTTTCCTTGCGTCTCTCCATGCTTCCCTGGTGGGAGGGACTAGTCGCAGGGAAACGATGCAAGTGAGGGATGCAAGGAATCCATTTAACCGAAGTGAGATGCAGCCTTAGACAGCACTGTATTAGTGGACACGCCTTAAAGCATACCATGTTTTATTGTCTATTCTTGCATAAATGGCACCATAGTCAACAAAATGAACATCATTTTGTATTTAAGACTTCAAATGAACAATTGAGACCATAAACTCGTTAGCAAAATGCTTTTTTTTTTCATAGACTTCTTTACAATCAGACTTATTTTTGCTACCAGTGGAGTCGCCCCCTGCTGGATATTAGAAATAATTGAGGTTGTTAAAGGCAGATTAAAAATGTTTCACTACCGACTTTTAAATAATTATAAAAAGTTAGATTCTTTCCTAGCTGGAGGTATTGCATCAAATCCTTTAGCAGGACTGAATGGGTTTGATGGCCTTGTTTGATTTCAGTTAAGTAACATCATGACGATGTTATAAAAGAGCATTGTGCTATTTATAGTCCAGCAGGAAAGGCCCTCAGATTTTGAGATACCCCTACCCGAGGTAGAACAAATGACAACAATGATTGTTCTTATCTTTAGGGTCTCCCATTAATGAAATTGATTGTTGTCAAATTTTATTCAGGGGGAAAATCTTTTGGGTTGTTCTTTAGAACTACCCAAATCCCTGAAAAAGAGCCAAATTAGACCAGGCCGAATGTGGGAAAGGTGACAAAAAAGCCCATAACTTGAGAATGACCTCTCTTTTCCTCTTCAGATTTGCTGAGGTATGAACCAGGTGCCCGTCCTACATCACCAAATAGTCAGACAATTATTTAACTAAAAAAATACTGAATTATAGTCCTGTAAACTTAGCTTTAGTTTAGATGGAAATTGTACTTTTGGTGATAGGAACAAAGGGACTCAATCACTTTTCTCACATTTATCAGAAAAACAGAAATCCCTAAAAAATATACCATTACTGAATTGTCTAGGGTGCTATTGAACACTAACCAGTAGTTGTATGGAAATATCTGGTACAGTTCTATTGCAAATGAGATTTATTTAGACATAGGCCTACCTCTTCTCTGATACAATCAAATTCCCAATGGGGGAGAAGTGGCATAATAGCCTATAAGTTAATAATGCTCACTCTGATGGTCATTATATTTGGAGAGGGAAATACCAGGTGGCTGAACTACATCACCAAATAGTCAGAATAAGAGTAACCCAATTAGGGGTGGGCGATATGACGATATATATCGTCGTGACGATATTAGGTCTCCACGATATGCTATTTCAGAGATATCGTATCTATCGTGATAAAAAAATTCTCNGTGGCATAATAGCCTATAAGTTAATAATGCTCACTCTGATGGTCATTATATTTGGAGAGGGAAATACCAGGTGGCTGAACTACATCACCAAATAGTCAGAATAAGAGTAACCCAATACAATAAAGTGTATTAGTTCTAAATTGCAAGCCTCTAAAACATAGGTGTAAATAGTACAGGTTGCATTGAAACTGGAACCTTAATTCAAAGTACAGTATACAATTCATCAAATAATTCAGTGAGAGTTCAAGTATATAGATACTAGAATATAATGTTAAATGTCAGGTTCCTCAGAAACGTTAGGGGAAACATTTTGACATTCTGTCAATGTGTCCCCTAGTTGAATGGCCCCATCTCCGACAATCCACCCCTTGTCAACAGGACTCCATAACAAGGGTTTGGATTCAGGCTGTGACACCATCGCTGTCTGAAACATTGCTCTTTGTACATGTTGTTGAAATGCATCCTCTGTTGGTGGCAGATTTTCTGAGGCTGCGTCTGTTGTTGATGCAATTATGAACCTCAGTTCATCCAAGTTTGTGCACATCAGTCCAATTTCCTTTTTTCCATATAGCAGAAACGCCACTTCTCTTGCGACTGGCAAAGTCTCTTCCAAGCTGGCAGAGAGTCCAAAATGGGCCAGATCTTTGAGCTCGCTGAGATGGGTCTTGAGTTTGGTGAATGCTGTTGTCTTTCCTATTCTGTACAAACTACTTGTTGTGCCACAGCCAGTGAGTGCATGACATGCTGGTAGACATCATTGTAGTTGCCGCCCAGCTTCAGGACCATCTCCAACTAAACGGCCTCTTTGAGAAATTCCAGTCCGGTTTACGTTCCACCCACAGCACTGAAACAGCTCTGGTCAGGGTCACAAACGACCTGCTGATGGCGGCTGACACTGGTTCCCCATCTCTCCTCATCCTACTGGATCTCACTGCAGCATTCGAAACTGTCGACCATAAAATCCTCCTTCAGCGCCTCAAACACACCATCAGACTCTCTGACTCCGCCTATGGTCGACAGTTTCGAATGCTGCAGTGAGATCCAGTAGGATGAGGAGANTTTTAGTGGCCCGAGCGGGCAAGTGGAAAGTACGTTATGCTGGCCCGGGGTGTCTAAATAGTGCTTCCGGGCCAGCGGGCCCTTTATAATGTCGAGCCCTGCTTACTGTTTAACATTTTGGGTTACTTAATATTACTTCATGTTAAGGCTAATACAAATGACAAGACTGTAATACTAACTAAAGTGCTAGCTACTAGCTAGCTAACTTGATCCAGCCACTCCTGGTCCTTTCATCAGACGGGAAGCGAAAGAACGAGCAAAACCCATTGCTGGTATGATTACAACCTGGTACTAAGCACACAGGCATATTGTTAAAGTTATCTTATCTTATCCAGCGCCATATAGATATAGGGCTGTGCGATTATGGCAAAAATCATAATCACGATTATTTGGGTCAATAATTGATATCACGATTATTTTGACGATTATTCATTGACCATTTATTGAACTTTAAAACAAATAATATTTTACCAATAAACATGTTCAACAAATATGTTGGAGCGCACATCCAAAACCATACTTAACATATGATAAATAAAAATAAATTAGACCAAAATAAATTAAATCAAATATGTTGCAGTGCACTGTCACAACCTACTGAAAACTCCTTAACACATAGCCAACATTTTGGTAAAACATATTCAACATATTCCACTCAGTTAAACGTTGAAGGCTGGCCAACCGTCATGGTCCAGAAGTAACAGGAAATAAATGTTGAACTACAATTTAAGACCAAATAAAAATGTTTTGGCCACCATGGCAAATGCTGGTAGGGCTGCTCATTTAATCTCTTAAATATTTTTTGCTAGAAACTAGGGCTGCTCGACTATGGCAAAAATCATAATCTCGATTATTTGGGTCAATAATTGATATCATGATTATTAAAAACGATTATCCATTTACTTTGAAAACATCAATTTATTGGAGAATTTTTTTTGAACAGTATGTTTTTAACAGTTGATTACCCTGAACTTTAAGTATAATTCAACTAAAAAACCAATAAAAAATAAAAATTAATACAAAATAAAAAAGAATTTTTTTTTAATAATAAAAAAATAATCGTTATATTTAGATTACGTTGTTTTCGTAATTGTTGCAAGCCATAATTGGATTTGCGATTAAAATACGATTAATCACCTGCATCACCTGCAAACAAAAACACACCACCGCAGACGTGGCATGCATCTTTTATTGGACCGAGCAGCTCGACCTAAACACACTCGCACTGTGGATCTGGTGGATGTGCGCGAGCTCATTTGTTTGATCAGATGGGCTGATGAGCTCCCTGACTGAGCTGATGAGCTCCCTGACTGAGCCATTTAGCGCAGTGTTTGATGACAGGGAGTAAACAGCATATTGAAGCTGGAGTGCAACTGGTAATGGATTTGGAAGTCTGAAACTATTT